CTTTCCCTTGGAATAGGATGCTCCCCCAAAGCATCAGAGGGTCCAGGACTGCCTCTGCAGAGATGCAGCTTTGGCTGTACCCAGCCACAGAGACAGCATCTCCTGCCTGCTTGTTTGAACTGTTCTGCATTGAGCACCACCATCAGGCTGGAACTGGGCCAGGGAAAATTCACTCATTTCAGAAAGCTTCCCTTTTATGATGGAACAGATATAAAAATATGACCCAAGCTTAAAGAACATGCTAACATTTGCCTTGGTACAGGTTGCCAAGCAAGGCAGTTAGGGCCTGACCTTGTGGCAAACTCAGCATGTGCTGTAAGAGAGGCTTTAAAAACCTTGAGACTTTTCAAATCTTTATTTAGAGGAACGAGAAGATAATAAGTTCACAGGATGTGCTTCAGTGGACAATAGTAATAAAACTGAAATTCTAAGTTCTATATTCATGCTTGACATTTTATTTTATTTTTTAAATTATGTAAAATCCTAGCTAGAAAAATGGTATTGATCTAGGTTAACAATAGGAACTCTTACATAAGCCACTGGAGCTTAAAAAAAACCCCAAAAATAATTTCCTGAAAATTTCTAAGTGGAGCTAACTGAAGATCAAAATTGGAATAATTTTCTCCTGCAGGTACATTACATGTAACTTGTTATCAACATCTGAATAGCATTTCTGAGGCAGCAACCATATATGCTCACAAATTAGGACCTGTATTGCATGCTTGTGTTTTTGTAGGTAGAAATGCTGCAAATGAAGGAAAGAACCTTTGTTATTAGGAAAAACACTGAATGATAGTTAAAAAAACTCACCTTGTCCAGCTTTTTATTTCCTGCTGCAGACTACCAGATACCAACTTTCTGTTTTTGTTTTGCAGTTGGAGCACTTGCATATTATTTGGGTACTAGAATGTTCAGCATGGAAGGTATTCAACTTGCTGGAAGTTTGTTGAAGATCATGGAATTTGTGACATTACCATCCCCACATCTACCTTAACATGAAGGCACGTGAAGGTCGCAGATTTCCATGCTCAAAGGTTAGGATCCTTGGCAACTAGAAAACAAAACTAGATGAACAGCCTGTAATGAATACTGGGGGGTTTGTGTGTCTATGGGAAAAAAATCTGATTAACAGGTCTGTCTCCTGATTTCAAAAGGATTCAGAGTTCTTCACTTTCTTTCTTAAACCATAGTGTAAGGCTACTGTGTGCTCTCAGACAGATGTTTCGTTCTATCTCAGAAGAATCTGGTGACTTTTTGCACACAGCTTAAAGCAGTATTTAGAACTTTCTAAGAAAAACAAACTATACTTGTCCACTGCTATAAGTATTTTGGACTTGGTTGCTTTCTCATTAATATGAAATTTTATTCTTATTTAAAAAAACAAGTTTGCCTTAGAATGTGCACTCTGGGCTGTTTATAGTGCTGAGCTGCTTTCAACCTGCTGCTTCAACGTGAGGATGTGGGACAGTTTATTGCTGGCAAGCTGCTTCAGAGAAGTAATTCAAGATGCAGATCCTGAACTTTAGTGAAAGACTAATGATCT